TTAGGGTCCAAAGTACCCAATAATCAGGAACTCGGTTTTAGGATAGTAGTTATGCAGGTTTACTATTTTTTCAGAGCAGATGATAATTAGGTACTTGGACCCTTAGTGTTAGGGATGGTTAGGGTGTCTAACTGCTCCAGGGGGGTCAGCTGTGGCGCTGGGACTGTGTGGTTGTAGCGTTCGGGTTTCTGCAAATTGCGGCTCACCCCTCACCCCCGACCCGAACCTTAAAAAACCCAAAGCCCTAGCTTCATTTTTAAACACGGGGAATCCTAAACTCGTTACCTGGACAAACATTTCCCTGCGGAGCGATACTGTCAGCTGGGCGGGTGGGAAAGAAGAAGCCCATGTATCTCCAAACATTCTCCGGTCTAGGCTTCGGGCTCTCGCGCTGTCGTAAGATTTCCGAGCTGCGTGCGAGCAGTCGGAAGTATGGAGAATCAGTAATGTGACTCCTTCGGGTTCCATATATACACACGAAGAATGTACCCCACAACCCTATTCAAATTATTCAAACCCCACATTATACTACTCTTATAGATCCCTTTCTAGTGTAGGACCCAGAGTAAGCCCTTATTCCCTTTTTTAAGGTTCAGGTTCCCTTGTACCCCCCTGTAAACCAAACTGGGCACCCTTTTTTATTCCTAGGTTACTCTTAGGTCTAGTAGTAGCCCTTACCCAGACCCCCGAAAGGATTCAAAAAGTAGATCCCTTAATGGGGGTTCCTATAAAGCACCCTTAGTAGTATAGGGCTTCAAATTAGGGGATCTACTTTCTAGATCTTTACGGGGGTTTGGGTATAGAGCCCTTTTTAGAGGAGCCCTGTTTTGATGATGGAGGCCCCATTGAGGACCAAATGAGCCTTCAAAGTAGGGGTCCTATACCCTCCTACTATGAACCCCTATATGGGAGTTTCCGAAAATTAGGGATATAGACTGCTCGGCCCCTTTAACGGAACCCCAGAGAGCCCAATACCCCTTAACTAAGGAATATAGCCTAAATCATAATATGGAGCCCTATATATTTTAAGCCATATTCCTTAATTAAGGGGCATTGGGCTCTCCGGGACCCTGTTCGGATTATCCATCCTCCCGCCGGCCAAGCAGCTCTTGGGTCTAGGGTTTGGGACTTAGGCGCCCTCTACGCCCTAGAGCCCAGAGACTCCAACCCAGAGAGCCCAATGCCCCTTAATTAAGGAATATGGCTTAAAGTATATAGGGCTCCATATTATGATTTCGGCTATATTCCTTAGTTAAGGGGTATTGGGCTCTCTGGGAATATCCCTTGGATTACCCTAAGGGTCCAAAGTACCCAATAATCAGGTACTCGGTTTTAGGATAGTAGTTATGCAGGTTACTTTGTTTTGGGGGAGTATTGATAATTGGGTACTTGGACCCTTAGGGTTATAGTAGGATCCCTTAGATGAGTTAAGGAATATTCCTTAAGCAAGGGATATTGGAGTCTCTGGGAACCATTCTCAAGCCCTTGTAGAACTTTACGTGGAGGTTCACGGGACTTAGCAACGGTTGATGATATAAATCCTGCATTACCCATAATAAGGAATATACTTTAATTCCCATAGTTTAGGGCCCTTGAGGTAATGCAGGATTTATATCATCAACAGAAGCACGGTTACATGTACTTTACCGACTTTTACTGAGTGATAAGTCATTAGAAGCCTTGTCGCTACTCAAAGCCCGAAAGTTCCTAAGTCCCATGATCCAATACCATATGGAAGCCTTAAGGGTTTAGGGTCTTGGGCATAGGGTTTAGGATATCGGGTTTAGGGTGCAGGGTTTAGGGTGTAGGGTTTAGGGTATCGGGTTTAGGGGTTTAGGGTGTAGGGTTTAGGGTATAGGGTTTACGGGTTAGCGGGTTTGAAGCCTCAAGAAGCCCCTCAAACAAGCCCCGGAAGGGCTCCGACTCCTGCGTCTGGAACTTGGCTTGTTTGGGATCCGCCTGCGGGTCTTCCGTGCCTTGGCTTTGTGCCTGGCAGGATTTTTTCAGGGGTTTAGGGATCATGGGGCTTATAGGGTTTAGGGTTTATAGGGTGTAGGATTTATATAGGGTTTAGAGGTTTAGAGTCTACAGTTTTAGGGTTCATCTATCGGGCTCTAGGGCGTTTGGGTTTAGGGGTTTAGGGTTTGTCGCTTTAGGGTTTATCTATAGGCCTCTAGGGCTTATGGTTCAGAGCTTTGGAGTTGAAGGCTTCAGGATTCGTCTATAGGGCCTTAGGGTTTGGGGTTGAGAGCTTTGGTGTTTAGGGCTCGACGGTAGGGTTTATCTATGGCACTTTAGGGTTTAGAGCTTTGGGGTTTAGGGATTTCGGGGTTAAGTACGTATTCCTTTGAAACCCTATGAGCCCTAAACCTTACGGCCTTCAGCCTGCCAAACCTTCACCTCCAGTCCTTAAACCCTAAACCCCCTAAACCCTAAACCCTAGACCCAAGATGTACTACAAACAGTATCCTTTCAAGTCCTGTGGCTGAATGCAAGTTCCAGCTGAGCTAGTTCGAGAATTGGGTCGGTTGCGAAAAGGACCTACTTGGAGCGGCAGGGGACTTAGTAAGGGTTCTTAAAGGGCTCTTTAAAGGGGTCTCTAGGGATCCTTAAAGGGATCTATGGGGTTTAGGGTTTAGGGTCTATTTGGAGGGGCAAGGGACTTAGTAAGCAAGGTTATAAGTAGGGTTATTATTCGGGTAACTAAATTTAGGGTACTTATAACTCTACATATAACCGACTTACTAAGTCCCCTGCCCCTCCAAGTAGCTTGGAGTTTCGCCTCGCAAAACGAGCTTGTTCGGATTTGGGGCTTAGTTTTCGAGGGCCTGCAGCTCAGCTAATCCAAGGGTAACAGGAGGGACCCTTAATAAGGACCCCTAGGTATATACCCTTAATATAGCTATTATATACCCGTTACATAGCCCATGATAGGGTAGGGGTCCCCATTAAGGGTCCCTCCTTTTCCCCTTTGAGCTAAGGGTTTAGAGCTACATCTTCGAGTGTGAGTGAGGCTACGGAATGCGGCGTGAATGCATGGCAGCAGCTAGTAGTTCGTACCAAAAGCCAAAAAAGCCCTGAGCACGGAACCCTGAACCCAAACCCTGAACTGTAAGAAACCCTCCACGGTGCTTCTTCTCATCCTTGCGTCCTTGGGAAGCTTCATTCCTGACGCTGCTGCTCCGGCTTGGGGCAATCGAGGTGTTGGGAGTTTGGTCTGGGATTTAGGAGTTACGGTCTTAGGGTCGAAAGAGCTTGTGCACCATGCAAGGTTTGAGAGAAGGCGCTCCAACGCAGCATTGTGTGCGACAGCTGGGTTGACGATTTCTGAAGCGTCATACAAATTCGGAGTTGAGGCTTCGGTCGGCTATGCCCTACACACTGACTATTGCAACCCGAATGTTGACCCATCGAGGGAGGGCATCTAAATCCTGGGTTGTGCTTTGGGATAACTTTTAATTTCGCTTATTTCCTTATAAAGGGAACCTATTCACAAATAATTTTCAAGGGGCTTAAAGCACAACCCAGAATTGCCTCGCTTGCTCCGTTGGTGTTGAGCACCCCGAGGCTCCTGCATCGGAATCTCGGCTGAACTGGCGATTTCGGCAACATAGGGGCCCTATAATAGTGACCAAGATTATTTTGGAGTCTAGTCGGCTAGTTACTATACTTATAGCAAGTACAATGGTCCCCAAAACCCCAATCTAATTAGAGGGGCCTTCAAATAGTTACCAATACTATTTTGGAGGCCCTTTGTTATACTTATAGTATACTGGTCCCCAAAACCCTAATGTACTTGTCAAGGCCCCTATATTTGAAGTTCAGTGGTCGGTCCTGACTGTGTCTCCCACGCTCACAACATCTCATTGCAGCCCTGCCGGGAATTCTGACACGCAGCATGTAGTTTATTCAGTCTATTCAGCTAGAGGCCGTAAGCCGTACATGCACATTCAACAGCATGCAACCCGAAGCCCCAAGGCACGGGAACTTGCTCTTTTTCGGGCACTCGTTTGACGGCGCTCAGACCCAACTGGGTGGTTGTCAAAACAAAGGTCCCTTTTTTGTGTACCCTTAATAATAGGTGCCGTATTATAATAAGGACCCAAAAAGGGATGCTAATTTTGACAACTACCGAGCTAGCGATGTTGCTTAGCGGGCTATGGGCCAACCTTACCTTACCTTCAAGAAACGGGGCCCGAATCCTAAGACCTGAGCCGTAGCCGTGCTTGCAAGCCCACAAGCCGCACTAAAGGGACCATGAGCTTCAGTAACTATAGCGGTATTATGAAGGTAGCTGCACCTTATAAGACATGATCCCCCAAGCAGAGGAGTCCTGAAGGTTTTTGTTTGCTTCTTTGTTGTTGTGTACTACTTGAACTTTGTGTTGTATCAGTACGATAAATAGTATACTGCCTGCTAAAACCAGGGTTTCGAAGTCATTGAGGGGGGTAGGGTTTGGGTCTCCTAGAGTCATGACACCTCAAATCTGAAGCTCTGCAGCGAGACCGAGCCAGACACCGCATAAACCCTGAAGTTTGAAGCCAAAACCCTATATAAACCCTAACCCCAAATTCCGATCAGGAGGCGTGTGAGGTGAAGGCGCAGCGGCAGCTGGCAAGGGCAAACGAGGCTTGGTTGAGGGGGTGTGTTCACTTTCTGAACGGTTGATGTTTGGGGTACATTGTAGGGAATCTCGTGTTGCGGTTAGCGTCTGGGGTGTAAGTCACAGTGCATTTGTGCAACTAATGAGTAGTGGTGACGGTCGGACTCTTCAGTGTCATCGCGATCATGAGGACCACAAGGCTATCTAGGAGACAGGATTTCCGTCAGCAGCTTAAGGTAAGCCTTCAGACTTCAGCCCTACACCCTAGATGCCTGAAGCCTAAACTCCAAAGCCGACACCTATAACCTCTAGGCAATAAGCTTTCAGGCCGACACCGTAAGCCCGACGCTAAGCCTTAAACCCTAATATTGAAGTTGGTGCCCGAGCCGAGACAGCCATGGCACTCGTTCTTGCCTTCTCTACCTTGTGCCTGGCAGCAGGCGTGACACCTCATGTGCCCCATGTGCTCTTCATCGTAGCAGACGACTACGGTTGGGGCAACTTGGGCGTACATCGCCGGGATGCTGGAGATTCCCTGGAAGAGCTCCAGGGAAAGTTGGAGGTTCACACGCCCAACCTCGATAGGCTCATCGATGACGGAATCTTGTTGGACCGCCATTACGCCTTCCATGTGTGCTCCCCCAGCCGTTCCTCCTTGCAGACGGGCCGCCTTCCAGTGCATGTGAACAAGGACATGAGCGACATGGACCTGCAGCTAGTGAATCCGAAGGACCCAGTGAGCGGCTATGCAGGGATCCCACGGAACATGACGTGCATGGCGGAGAAGTTGCTCGCGGCTGGGTACCGCACCCACATGGTCGGGAAGTGGGACGTCGGCATTGCGACGCCACAGCACTCACCAAAAGGGCGCGGATATGAGACTTGGTATGGCTTCTACGGTCATTCCAACGAGTATTGGCACGCGACAGCCACGATGACTTCAGCGTTCGGGGCTGTTGACGTATGCTTGAACCAAATGAGAGACTTGTCCATGCACAATTCGAGCTACTGCGGTCCTGCTCTCGACGATGTCTCCTTGTCAGCTGTGTGCGAAAGCGATGATGACAAGGAGTCGGAGCCGTCATGTTACTTAGTAGCTGAGTGGATACACTTTACACCTTTGGGGAAAATATTACCCACTATAAAACTCAAAGTGTACACTTTCTGGGGCTTATGAACTCAGAGACACTTTTTGGGGATAAGACTACCCACTATATACAACTAAAAGTGTACACTTTCTGGGGCTTATGAACTCAGATACACTTTTTGGGGATAAGACTACCCACTATATACAACTAAAAGTGTACACTTTCTGGGGCTTATGAACTCAGATACACTTTTTGGGAATAAGACTACCCACTATATATATATATATATATATATATATGCAACTAGAAGTGTACACTTTTTTTGGTGGCTTTTATGAACTCAGCAGCTAAGGTTACGAGGAGCATCGCTTCAAAGAGAGGGTTCTGGAGATCATCCAGTTCCATGACACAGAGACTCGGTCGGCCTTGTCCTTTTTCATGGTTCCCCCAAAAGAATGAACAGACCGGCTGGTAGACCTTCTTAGATAATTCCTACTAAGGGATATAGGTATAGGGCTCTGTCTACTATTTCTAAAAGAACAAGGGTGGACTCGGTAGGGCTTTGGGGCATTTTCTATTTTCCCTTCTTGGTTTGTTTAAGAGGGGTAGGGCTTTGGGACATTTTCTGTTTTCCCTTATTTGTTTTTTTGGAGGAGGACCTTGTTTACTACGGCATATTTGTCAAAAGGCTTTTAAAAGCCCCACCTAGGAGAAGCCCTTGTTCCTGTTGTATGCGTTCCATTTGCTTCACACTCCTCTGCAAGTGCCGCGGGTGTGGCTTCGACGAATCGATGAGCTTGTTAGATTGGCAGGTGGCCATCCGATTGATTCCCAAAATCGACGGCTGTATGCTGCCATGACTCTTTACATGGACGCCGCAATAGGCGAAGCAGTTGAAGCCTTGAGGAAAAGGGATATGTATGACAACACGTTGATCATCTTTGTTTCCGACAACGGCGGTGCAATCTATGAGCCTGGTGGTGCCTCAAACCATCCTCTGCGAGGAGGAAAAGTATCCCTGTTTGAAGGAGGCATCCGAACGAATGCCTTTGTCTCAGGCGGCTTCGTACCAGAGTCTCGACGCGGCACGAAGTTCGAAGGCGTCATCAGCATCGCGGACTGGTACGGGACGCTTGCAGAGCTTGCCGGCGTGGACATCGAGGATCAAAAAGCCGAGGCGGCCAACACTTGGCTACGGGAAAAGGGCCTCCCCACGCTGTTTCCGGTAGACAGTGTGCCACAGTGGCAAAACATCCTCCAGAACCGCAACGGCAGAGCCGATCCTCTGCATCTTTCCTCACAAGCCCTGCTGATGTGGCCATACAAACTCCTCACGGACAAAACCACTTATGGTGTCTGGACGGGGCCCGTCTATCCGAACTGCTCCACTTTGCAAAGCGTTCGAAGACATCAGGGGCCAATGCCCCCAACTACTCTTGAAGAAGGAGTTCCTATATTCTTGCCCGAGCTCTCCGACGAAAGCAAGCACTTGGAAACCTGGCAGTTCGATTGCGGTGAGGGTTGCCTTTTCAATGTGAGGGATGATCCGAATGAGCACGTGGATCTGGCTAGAGACCCTGACTACAAATCCATCTTTCGAAACATGCGTGAGACGCTGCAGCTCCAGAACAAGGACGCTAGGTAGGCCTTTGGGACATTTTACATTTTTCCTTTTTGGGCTTAGGAGGATACTATTCACGAAGACTTTTCAGAGGCTTTAAAGGGCCAACCTACAGTAGAAGCCAGAAAGTTGGAATATCATTATCGTAACTCCTTTAAGGTAAATTATAGGGTCTCCTACCCTGAAACCATATTCCAACTTTCTGGAGTTCCCTTTAGGACATCTTTGATCCCGAGCGTGGAGCGCCGACCGTGGAAGCTTGTATCGTGGCTATCGAGCCTTGGCGTTCTTCTGGTTGGCTCTTTAGACTTTAACTTTTTGGGTTTCTATATGAACTATAATACGGAGGCTAGAAGTTTAACTTTTAGGAGGGGTTCAGAAGTCAGCCAAGGAGCATGGGCGGACCCTGGGCCCCTTCTTAGAGCTCGGGGAGTTCTATAGCCCGAAGCCATCGAGGAGCCCAGATCAGCAAGCTGAAGATGCGGTGCTGAGCTCTACACTGCGCATCATGAACATGGACAAGAACAAGCTACGGTTTGTCGATGAGCTGATGGAGGAGGCGAAGCATGCTCCGCATGAGTATGACAAGTGCCTGGTGCCGATGTTTCAAGATGTAGAGCAGTGATATAGGGGCCTAAATAACTACCTATACTATTTTGGGGGTTCCTTGTTATAAATATAGTATAATGGGCCCCAAAAACCTGTTCTAATTATTAAGGCCCCTATATTAGGTTCGCGCACGAACGTCCGGACCGGCAGGGGCGCTTATGACGCTTCCTTGCAACAGGATGCCTAATTCGCTAGGCTGCACATCTTACTACTAAGCAGCCTTTTTTGTGCATCTGCATGTTGCTGGAGAAGCTTTCCCGTAGGTTCCGCTTCTCCCCGACACCTAGACTTAGGCCGCCCGCGATTGGTTGTGTTGGTTCCGCGGCTAGGCGGCTGCGTGTGGGACCACATGCGGAGACTAGATTTTGATTTAGCGAGGCTTTCATGTCGCGTGTTGTTCAGTCGTCTCACCCGGTCAAGACCCTGGAGTATTGCGAGGAAGTAAACGAGTGATGCGTGTTCTCGTCCACTTGTCGCAGTTGTGAGAGTCGGACCCCATGGGCTTCGCCGTTTATATTCCTCTCCTACTTAAAGGATCATGGGACTTAGTAACTGGGGTTATAGATGAGGTAACTATACTTATAATTACTTATAACCCCAATTACGGTACTTATAACCTTACTTACTAAGTCCCACGATCCTCCAAGTATGTGCTGGATAGTAGTTGACAGCACTCAGTCGTCTCACCCTTCAGACCTACAACATGCCTTGTCCGCGTGCGGGCGCCCAAACCCTAGCCACAAAAGGGGGTTTCCGAAAATAGGGGACCCTAATATGGTACCCTAAATAGTAGGATCCTCGTTATAGGGACTCCCAAACATGTACCCTAATTTTCGGAAACTCCCAAAAAGCACAGCACTCACAAGAGCCAGGGCGATGTCGCAGATCCGGAGCGATCCTGGTCACCTCTTTGCCACTCGGTTTACTGCGCAGTTTAGGGTTTTAGGGTTTTGGGGTTTAGGGTTTAGGGGTTGCGCGGTTTAGGGTTTCAGGCTGCAGGGTTTCGTGGTTTAAAGGTTTAGGCTTCAGGGATTTGATGCACGAGCCATTGCTGAGGCAGGCAACTTCGAGGCACTTCAGAGCGACCTCGTTCAAAAAGGGATTTTGGGGGTCATTCGGGTTTTTGTGTAAGGGTTGATGGTTTGGGGGGTAGGGCAGGCGTAGGATTTCGGTTTTGGCGTTGCATATAGCAACAGCACCAATGGCAAGCACCGTCATGAGTTTGTCAGCATTTTTCCGACCAAGGCACAAAAGAGCGTAGCGTAAGGTTCTGAATAACAAGTGTTATTACACCCTCACAGTACAGTCCCACCATAAAACATAGTATAGCCTACACCACTTCGTGCGTGGTCTGGGTGCTTAGAGTGCGCTTAACTGCTTGCCTTCATTGCTTCATTGCTTTGTACCCTCTCAGTGCAATGTTGCAGCAGCTCTCTGAACCCCATGGCAAAGCCGGTCTGAAACAACAAAGCCAGACCCCTGCGCAAGTTTAGGATGAGATTTAGGCAATGATCGGAGAGCCGCTAATCATGGGGGCGCTGTAAAACGGGGCGTAAGGTATGATGAGCCTTCAAAGGTTCATTTGATGTCACGTGTGAAACATTGTGCCTTTTCATCCTGCTTGTCGACTGCGGAATGTCAGTTTAATTTGGGCGGATGGGGTCTTCACTTGCGCTTGGAACCCTTTCCGAAAACTGTTGCGAAGATGATGCGGAGCGCGCACACATCGTTGCAGCGAACATTGCGCAGGAGTTGCAGTTTCGAACAACTGTGCACAATCGTGGCGATCCGCGGCGCGCAAATTTTAAAATTGCCCACAGTTGTCGTCGTTTGCGTGCGTTCTGCATTTGTGCATGTGTGCTCGCCGTGCCATGCGCAAGTGTGCATTGCATTTTCAGGAAACACGACAAAAGGTGAGAGCAGCAGGTACAGACCTGGACTTAGAGTGGCCTTCATGCTCATGGGTTCAGCAGCAGCTCTTGGGAAGCAAGCACCCTTAAGCCCCCATGTGAGGGGCCCCACTTGCGACAAAACGAACCGTTTATCCGCTCCGCAGTCCTGAGCCGTCCCCAAGCATTGAGAGTTGAAGCCCCGAAGTCCTGTCTGTGCCCTATAGGCACACTCGGTGCGTGGATGGACCGGGGCCACACGCACGGGGAGATTGTACTTGTGCATGGTTTACACACAAGGACATCACCGCAATTAGCCAGATACACTTCCGTCAGTGAGCACATATCTGCCCCTGTCGTTAACCCCTTCTTTACAAGGCAAGCGCTGAGCGTTGGGGCCCCACTTGCGGAGCCTAAACAAATCTAAGAGCGACTCAGGCATCCCCTGACTGCAAAGCAATCCTGACGCTGGCCGCCCCAAGCCTTGAAGCAACCCGTAACTTCGCCTTCCCCCGAACTTATCGCGACCCTTAACCTGACCCCTCCTATCCTTAAAGGGCCTCTGGATCCCCGACCCTCGCAGGCCCCAAACCCCGATAGTGCAACCCCTTAACAAAGAACCCAGATGAAGGTTTGCGTAATCCGAGCCCGATATAGGACGTGCATTACATCCAAATGCAACCCAGACGCATAACGGCCTGCGGGCAGGCAGGCAGTCCGTCATTCAGTCAGTCCTTCATTTGTTCGTTCATTCTTTGTGTCACTTATTAGGTTGTAAAAATATGTGGGCATGCACGCGCAATGCAAGAAACACATACAGGCACTAGTGTGCACGGGTCAACCTGAATGTCTGTCTGCTGTCGGTCGGTCGGTCGGTCAGTCAGTCTGTCTGTCTGTCTGTCTGTCTGTCTGTCTTTCCGCCTCTCTTTCTCTCTGTCTCTCCGTCTCTCTGTCTTTGTATGTCTTTCTTTCTGTCTGTATGTACGTATGTAAGTATGTATGTATGTATCTACGTAACATGTACTTCTCAAGTAGGTATGTGTGCATGTACGCATGTCAGTATGCTTGTCCGCAATTCTGTAGGTACGTATGTATGCAAGTACGTAGGCATTGATGTATGTATGTATGTATGTATGTATGTGTGTATGTATGTATTTTGTGGGGAAGTACATGCTCGAACAAAGCTGAGCGCATGTACATGTCATAATATCCGTTCTTCTCATGCTTTAGGCCGAAAGGAAAGAGCGTTTTTCGGATTTAGATTAGGGTGGCCAGTGTCGCCAGGTAATTCCAATGAGCCGCACTCGCCTCGAGCATTGGCAGACCTAAAAAAAGAGCTGGAGGATACCATCTATACGTTCCAGGCAGTGAACTTGACCCCAGGGTCTTTCCACTTTTGCGGTCTAGGGTTTTTTGTCGTGCCCAAACCTGAACCCGGTTTTGGTTCTTGCTTGTGCTACGCATTGAGGTAGAGAAACCAAAAAAAGTCATAATATCGTGCAGTTAGGTTGAGGCTTAGGTGTGTAAGGCATGGTTTTACATAACGTTTAGGGCTAGGGATTCTGGATTTGCCGCAACCGACCAGAACCTATCTTTTCGGTCCCATGTCAATTCCAGTCATATCAGGGCTCTAAATAAGAACCGAATTTCAATTTGCATGGTCGGTTATGGACATGTTCGACTCAGCTCCAGGTGTCAGGGGCAGGTGGTGGGACTTGATTCGAAAAGCTGGTGGGTATTTTTAGGGGTTTTTAAGGATCTTTAAGTAAGGGTTTGTAGGGATTTATAGGGGTCCAAATAGAGGGATGCGCAGCTTGTGCGATCCGGCACCTCACAGAACCCTACACCAAGTCTGTCGGGCCATAACTTGGCCCTTCGGGTACCACCCGTCAAGGGGCTTCTTGTTTAAAGTTTAAGGGACAGAGCCGATGAGCAAAAACGACCTAAACCCTGCGAGATCGTCGTAGAGAAGTTCGGCAAGAAGCTCGGTTTGGTCTACGACGACTCCGATGGTGAGTCCCTGGTGATAAAGAACATCAACCCAGGGGTTCTATACGAAGCTTGCCCTATCTTCATCATGGAGGGACAGCAGGGTATATTCGTTTTGGAGTGCGCTATCAAGCAGTGTGCGATAAGCGTCGAGGCCTAATCTATTTATTTTGTCTGCTTATCGGTTGTTTGTTATTGTTTGGGCTTCAGAAAGAAGGGGTCAGAATTCAGATTCTGGGAGGTTTGCGCTGTCTGTGCTTAGGTGCTTCACTGGTTCTGGTTCACCTAAGTCAACTTGCCGTTCATGCGAGTGTCAGCATATCTGGCGAACCGAACAACGGACCGTCCGCGATCGGCAGTATTTTCAATCGTGCAGAAAGCATAGGATGCCTGATATCCCGGATAAATGATGCCGAGGGACTGTTCTGTGCAAACTTGGGTTCATCCCGACAGTCGAAACATTGGGAACGCGTAATCTGCGTGAGGCCCCTCAAGCAGACTCCCCCATGAGAAACGGAAGCTTGCAAGATACAGCACCTTATACGGCTTCAGTATCGGGGCACATCTATACAGACGAGAATGGTATATGAGCATATAGTGTATAAGACTTCAGACCATCGGACAGTAGACGTGCAGCTGACATTGGGATCTGCCTGCGCAGAGAGAGAGAAAGAGAGAGGGAGAGAGAGAATGTGTTGCGTCGGAGGCCTGCTTTCTGCCCTGGCCCCTGCTCTGGATGTGAACAGTCACACGGGCATCGAGAGAGCATCAGAGTGATTGCCAAACCCTTTTCGCCGTTTGTCACCGTCAGCCCTTTCGCAGATGCCTGGACGAAGGGAGTAATGTAGTCTGACTATTGCCGTGCTGTTTGTTCCATTCAATTCCGATTATGCGCCGGCACCAAGGAGACTTGTCATCAAGGCTGTAAGCTCACTTCAAGTAGAAAGCATGCATGACTATTTCCACTCGCACCTGTCCACTGGAAGCTTTCCGTGCACCCTTTCTGGAAAGCTGTTGACCGTTATCACTGGCTTCTTTTCTTCTGACTGTATCGCCATGTCCTTGGCTGTCTGCTCCGTTGTCACGGTTGCCAGGGTTTAGGTATCAGGACGGGCTGTAGAATAGGTGAGATGGCAGC